GGGATCCAAATCAGTGACTGCTTCTACAAGGCGAAGTGTTGAGTTCCATCTTGTTGATACAGCAGATGGGATGCTGTGACTGGCTCCATATTGAGCCTCGAATGCTTCCTTCATGCTGCATGTAGAATGCAGCAAACTGCAGAGTTTTGTCAATTTTGCTATTTCACTGTTTAAAGTTTTTGTCTCTTTCAATCCATCTCGCACAACAAGTTGCAAGGTATGTGCAAAGCACTGTAGGCGCTGTTGCCAGCAACTGCTCCAGATGGATGCTACATCATCCTGTAATTCCTCACTTTGTTTCCTGCCATAAGTTACCATTTTCCAGATAATCGTCATCATCTTCCTTATCCGTCACAGTTGAGGCTAAACAAACTGTGAAAGCGTTCTTCATGTTAGCAGCATTATCAGAGATTATGTAGTCTAATTTGTGTTTTATGTTAAAGTTGTCACATATCTCTTCAAACTTTTCACTTATTCGTTTTCCAGTGTGTGACCCTGTGAATCTCTCACAACTTAAGAGGACTGACTGCAGTCTTGGGCCGTTTTTCTCATATTCCATGAAGTGGGATGTTACACCTAAAAAGCCACGCATGGTCCTGTCTGTCCAGATATCCACAGTCGCAGAAACAGTGTCTGTCTTTTCTAACTTGGATTTAATCTTGACCACTTTTTCTGCAGCAAGCTCACCCTGGTTACTGAGGTGCGACTTGGCGGGCAGTATTTCTCCTCTACGACTGCCATGAAGTTCTTAAAGCTGGGCTTGTTGATCAAAGACAAGGGGAGGTTGCATGAAATAATGAGGTCTTGTATTATTGCTTGAGTAATTGCCTTATGTCTGGGATGTCCCTGGCTGTACACCTGCACTCCTTTTGTCAGAAAGGACTCCATGCTGCTCTGTCTCTTTCCACTTTCCAGTTTTTTTGCTTTACTGAATTCAGAGAACCTGTAGATGAACATGGATATTTATTTAGAATAGTACCTAGCCATCTCCAATATCATAGTTTTTTCAAGTGTACTAAAATTAGCGTGGATCCAATTAGTAAGACACAAATAGCTTAAAAGTACTGCATTTCAAAACTTCTTTTTTTCTTCTCTCTGAGGGCAGTGAAGGGCCAAAAAAATAACATTAAAGTATAAAAAAACTGATCCTAACTTAGTTTGATACTTATGTAGTGTAATAAACTAATGTCTGCATTCCTGAGGACTTGAGCTTAGCTTGCTTATAGAGCCGATGCTAACCTGTTACACAGTGAATAACCTTTCCGGGTGGGTTTTCATGTGGTGGAAAAAAATAGATGTGTTGGACCCAGCATTGTGTATTTTTTTCTAGCGAAGCTGCAGTTTGCTGCTCTTTTGTTCCTGCCTTGTGTTAAGTTTTCGTAGCCAAAGGTTATTATAAACGGTGGGACCGAAAAAGGGGTGCTAATCGTCGCCTCCATATCTGTATGGGTTGCATGCGTACGCACGCGCTCGGGCATATCTTTCACGTAGCGTTGAGTCAGTGACGTCAGTGCTACGTGACTGTTTGACAGCCCCTCTGCCGTTTTTTTTTTTTACCTCTACTGTGAGCGGGTAAGCCGAGCAGCGATCAGTAAAGTTAGTAAAACAAAAAACACTTAAAAATAAAACATTGTTCACAAGTCAAAAATCGCGAGTCTCAGTCGAGTCTGAAGTCCTTCAAATGCAAATCTAAGTCGAGTCTGAAGTCATAAAATATGCGACTTGAGTACGAGTCACAAACTCGAGTCCCCATCTTTNTGACTGGATGATCTGGTTGAACTGTAAAGTGCCTTGAGATGACATGTGTTGTGAATTGGCGCTATATGAATAAACTGAATTGAATTGAAATTGAATTAAACATTGCATTAAGAAAAACAACAGATTCACTACTGTAACCACAGCACAGAAACAATAACATAACATCGAATTTGCTCAACAGGCCAGGGGTTGTATGCTTTCCATTATTAGTTCACTTGGCCTTGGTCTTTTAGACTTGAGGCTGGCATGAGGCCACTTGGATAGAAAAATATATTTTATTACTATAACTCCAGTCTAGGTTTAAAATTAAAGCCCATTCTACTTTAATACGTAAACAAAACAAAAAAAAACAAATACGATACAATCTCCATATGTTCCATAATTATGATATTTTAAGTCTTAATAATGAGATAGCACTTCATCCTAATGAGACTGCTTGGTCATAATAATGATTTAAATGTTGAGTTTTATAGTTTTTAACTCACTGAGAAACAATAGGATATTTACCCAGCTTCTGCTTTGTACTTGTTCTTCCTGCCCTGTAATCTTACCTGTTATTCTAGTTTACAAGTGATTGTTATTCCTTAATATTAAATTTTTTAAAAATATTTTAAAAAACGTTTACTCGTGGAATATCCAGTGATGTCATCTGAGAAGATAAAGCTATGGTTCATATTATTACCGTTATGCTTTTGGATTAGTAATATTATATTGTTATCATGATGGACAACAGTGAGCATCAGCTTCACAAGTTTCTAAAACAATGACAGTTTCTTTAATCAGAGACTTCTCCAGATCCTGTGCAAAATAGACTGCTAGAAGATCCATACTGCCTACATCTATATCATCTCATTAAAAAAAATGAGTTACTGTAACATCTAATTTCCCTTTAGTAATAAAGTAAAGATCAATACCTGGTCCCCATGGGTACAAATACTGTTTTATGCTTAGGTGTTACGTTTGAAGGTATGAATTGAGCTTAGGTTGTGGTTAGGCTTTAGGTAGGAACCCATAATGGTTAGGTTTAGGGTCACAGTAAGCAGGGGCAGAGGTAGATGGGGGGCAGAGGTGGCCATGGCCACCCTTAGCCAATCATTGGCCCCCCCTATGGCCACCCACACCATTTTTCTCATCTAATACAGACAGTGGCAGCAGTAAAACTCTCAAGTGGAATGTTCTAACTTATTTAACATTCAATATTTTCATATGTTAACAGTTACTTGACAACAAAAACACTGCTAACATCAAAGATAAATTCATTTCAATTCAGTTTATTTATATAGCACCAATTCACAACACGTCATCTCAAGGTACTTTACAGTTCACCAGATCA